TTATTCCGCCCCGCCCGCTCCCGTGCCTCATTTAAATGGGCTGGGCTCGTGCCGTGCTGGGCCGGCCCGTCCCGTTTGACACCTCTACTCCAGGTCCAGGAGACAAATGAGATGCACAGTCCAAGACATCTTGGAATTAAATGTCACACGAATCCACCAACAAATTCATTAATTTTCACAAATTTAAAAGGTTTACAAAAGAGGGAAAAAAAACCTACCCAATTCCACCACCGTAAACGTTCAGACATTTAAATTACCCAACACATAACATCCTCAAGCCAGCTTAGTCGCAAAGACATTTAAACACAGCTCTATGTAGGATTGAGTAGAAAGAAAAGGGACAAAAGACGAACAAAACAAAAGACCCAACACAGAAAGCAGCTGCTGCATAAGACGCAATCCTGAGTGCTGATGAACCCAATCAGAGTGAATAGCTAACCAGTAAAGCACAAAAACTTGATAGGTACTTAATTTCAGTCTTAATATTCACTATAATCCCGAGAGAGTGATCTAGATGACCTCCGATAATCTCGCTCCACATCTCCATCCCTATCCCTTTCGCGGGACTCAACTGGTGCTTGTTCATAATGGTAATCATCCTCCTCCATTCGATCATAGCGATCATGCCCGCGATCAGGATATTGTTTGTAACGGTCATGGTCATGCTGGACATCCAATTGATCATACTGGCTACGATGATGTTCATAGGGCTCAGCATCCTGGTCAGGGTCTGAGTGCCTATGGCCATGTTCAGGTTGTTCAAACCACCCCTGGCCATCTTCCTGGGCAGTGCGGTCATAATCCCGTTCCCTTTCGCCATGTCGGTCCCTCTCATGTTTTGATTCAGTACGGTGGTCATAATCAGATTCCTTGTCACGGGAACGGCCACGATCATGCTCAGGGTCCCCAACTTCGTAATCCCTGTCTCTTTCTCGAGGGCGATCGCGATCACGATCCCTAGTTTCTCGATCACGCTCACGACCACGATCTCTTTCGCTATCCCTATCCGGGTCCCTGTCTCTGGGTCTATCACGATCTCTGTGGTGCCTATCTTCCCTGTGATCACGATCCCTAGGCTTGTCATGGGAGCGTTCACGGGAGCGCTCACGAGACTTCTCCCGTTCTCTCTCCTTGTCTTTCTCTTTACCCCTTTCACGGGATTTTTCTCTATCCCTGAAAATCAGTTCACTCAATATCACTCACATAGAAAGCAATAATGAAATTGCAGAATAATAATAAGAATTCATGAATACCTACAATGCATGACCAAATGCCAGAACAATTACTTCGAGACAATTGTTATAAAAATTTAAATTGTATAACTATCACTAAAGTACGCAAGTAAAAATCAGTAACATAACCATGACATTGAGTGCACCCAAGGATATCTTGCATTAGGGAAACCCTCCTTTATCTGGCATGCCTTTTGTTTTCATCTCTTTTTTTGTTTTTTATATTTTGAACAAGCTTTTATTAAATAAAAAATAATCATAATCATTTAAAGCTGAACATCACTACTACCAAAACCTTCAAACAATGTGCAAAACAGTTTGGAAAATCTTACAAGTCTACATGCCGCTCCTCGCGTCCCCTTGGCTCCTCGGACCGGGGTTGTCCTCCTGATTGTACTTGCTCCCTAAGCAAACAAAGATAAATGTTAAAGTTAACAAAGGCACTTGAAAAAACATGCTAAACATACGAGAAAACAAAGTTTTCACATCCAGCAATTTTATGACACAACTTGGAAGAAGATCATGTTCCCAAAATCCCATAGCTAATATAATAAAACAAGTACAAAACAAAGCAGTTAGTTTTGATAATATAGATTACATAATAGGAAGACAAAGAAATCTCTACCAATATACCACTTAAAGATGAGTCATAAAACAACCACAGAGGATACAATTCTCTTCATTTGTTGGTGCTCGCATAATGTTGGTTCCTATAATTTTTTCTGCAATGGATGACTATTACATTACCATTGACTATATTTCTTACCAAAAAATTGACCACAGGGATTAAAAAAAAAAAAGAGAGACATGGAACAGAAGAGATTAAACATCTTTACCTCAGTAGGAAAAACTTTGACATCCCCTATAAAACTTATAAAATTCAAGCATACTCTACAAATAATCTCACATATTTTCAATTCTGAAACTAAAAGAACACTTTCATCCCCATGTTAATTCAGGACAAAACATAAGCACTTTAGGCAATGAGGTCCGTCTCTCTTACAACTAAATTTCTACTGTACAATATGCACATCAGTTCTTGATGACTAAAGTTGGGAAATGTTGGAATCAAACTCCTCACCTTCCTGAATATCTCTGATTAACTTCCTCACCTCCAACTCTGGTGGTCCCAAGCCCACCACCCAGTCGGCGAGGACGCCAGTTTGGGACTGTCCTCCCACGTTCAACATCTACAAGAACCCTTCTGCCTTCAATCTTCCTCCCATCAGCTTGCTTGTATGCAGCTGTAACATGCATATAACTAGTCTTAGAAATGAAGGACAAATCATATTGTAATTTAGTACATAAAGTATTAAAGCAAACCTTTCATATCCCGTGTATGCATGTACTCAATGAATCCATAGCCTCTAGGTTTATTTGTTTCTTTGTCAGAGACCAATCGAACCTGAAATTTCATAGAATAAGAATATGATTAATAAACAAGATATAAAGTATTCTGATCTTAAGCAAACAATGCTTAAGACTAAGTAACTATGAATAGATGTTTTAACATCTACAACAAAGCATCATACTGCAGAAAAATATTGAATCCTAAATGGCACGGCAGACAGGCACTATGCCTCTTTAGCCGTGCTCACCTTTAAATCATACAGCTTCCATCGCAAGATGCATCATCACCGGCTAGAGTTGCAGAAAAACTGACATTTGTGGCCAACTTACCAGTTGAACAGACTATTATCCCCTTACCAGGGAGATTTTTTTAATAATAAATTTTTTTTGTAAATACTATTAAAAATAACAGGACATCGCGCTGCCGATGTGTGTGTGTGTGTGTGTGTATGTTTTCTGTTTTTTTTTCTTTTTTTTTGGTTGAAAGCCTTCAAAGCCAAAAGTAAAATTTTCAGCAGAAAATGCATGTACTACAAATTCAAAGGAGAAAGAGATGCTAATACCCCCGACTTGTTTTACCCTGTTGGTCTCCTTTTGTTGCTTGAAATAAAGTCCAAAAGGCACAGTGCATCACTGCTCTGCTCAATTTATAGTATTCAGCTTTGCTATGCAGGATGAAGCATCATTTTTGGGATTGGATAGGGATAAATTTTGGAATCAAAGATACCATATGCAAACAAATTACCACCTTACCAGGGATATGTCTTGAATGTTAGAACTTAAAACCAATACATATCCTAGAAACACCCAGTTCCAAGATCTCTTAAATAAAACTACATTAAAGGGGGAGCTAAGAATGGAGCAAACCCATACGAGATTACCAGTATACTCGCAGTGACACCTGTGTTAATTTTTAAGTCTTATAAACTCAGCTTTGCTGTGCAGAACGAAGCACCATGTTCGGAATCAGGTAGGTAGAAATCAAAGATATTGATGAATACTCACCCCTTACCAGGGATACTCCTTGAATGTTAAAACTTAATACTAGTATGTACCCTAGAAAGCCCAATTCCAAGATCTCTACATAAAAACATATAAAAAAGAGAGCTATGGAAGGATTTAAACAAACCCGTAAGACATTACCGGCATATTTGCAGAGACACCTGTAATAGTAATACAAACTTGCAAGACTCAACTAACAATAAAACTAACCAAGGAGAACAGACTCGAAAGGCATCACCAGGCATTACCAGTTATAGTTATGGCTGGAAACAATGCATTATCTCAACCCAGTTGGCTGAATGAATTTTCAAATTCAGTTTATTATGCAGAAAATGTATGAGACAGACTCTTGAGGGTTCTAACTACATAACTTCAGAAAAGTTCAGTAATATGTACCCCAGGCATCTTTTTGAACAAAATTGGAAAAAGGAAAACAGTCCTGAGAGTACTTTTTCCAAATTCAAAGATTAGAAAATCTGGGATTTTTGTAGAGAAAACGAAAAGGAACAAGCTACAATGCAAGTGAACCTCTTACCGAACCCCCTTGGGGTTGCTCAAAAAAAAACCTACCCGTTTGATTGGACCATAAACGTCAAACTCCCTTTTGATTCTGCTCTCAGTTGACTCATAATTCTGCAGGAATACAATAAAGATTACACGTCAACCTTAACGAATACGAAGAACAGCATGAGGAAAACCAATACGGTACCCAAAAATGTTACTCACCAGTCTAGCAATAAACAAAGTCTTATATGGATCTCCAGAAATATTTGGGTCATTATTTGGATCATCTGCACAGAAACAGATATAAGGAAAACAAGGTAACATAAATTATAAGAATCCAAAGTCTTACAATCAAAAGAAGAGTAGGTCATCACATTTCTCTAGCTCTTCTGCAGCCTTTGCTGCACCCTTGTCAAGCCTTAACTGGTGTATCCGAGCCCTTCTTTGTGTCTGAATCCAACAAGACAGAAAGCATATATGTTTAGTATGAACAGTGACTTCATAAGGTTATGTCTTCATACAAGAATTTCAAGTTAGAATCTTACAGGAGTTTCGCCCTTTTGGACAGGCGCAGTATATTCAGGATCTCCTGGCTCCGCAAACTTACTCACAAACTGCGCAATCCCTTCATTAACCAAAAATAATACAAAAAAAATTAAGAGCTACAACCTGAAAATTCATGCCAAATTGGAAATTATTCAGGCCCAAGATTTACTAAAAAACCTGTCAAGGGTGGGCATTTTCTTTTCTCTGGAGGCGGTTTAAAATCCAACGGTGGTCGAGGCTCAAACAGCTTCAAAAGGTTAGTTGTTAAACCAGTGGGGTGACTCTGACCAATCTGCAGCGCAAACACAAAAATTACAAATCGATATTCCTTACAAAATAAATCCAGACCTTAACTATGTTTACAAAGCAACCAATACAGAACGCCCAGTCAAAAAGCAAAAGGCAAAAAGCAAAGTATGTTCAACTTCTGAGTACTATCAATTGACATGCAACAAAATTCAATAAATTAGGAGAAAACTACAGAGATCAGCTACATATTTAGCTAGGGTTTATCTAAAACATGAAAATCCTATATTAATCAAGTAATTTGAGAAGGATAAAAACAAAAACTTGGCCTCACAAATAGAAAAACTAAACCTAAACAAGTAAGAGGAAGAAACCCTAAGGACGAACCAGTTTGAGCTGAAGAACATTAGCGCGGTTCTGGGCCTTGGTTCGGCCCTGAACGGCGGCGTTTTGGCTGCGCATGAAGGCATCGTTGTTGTTGTTGTTGTTGTTGTAGTCTCCCATGGCGAATCGATCTGAGCTGAGTTATGGTTTCTGAAGCAGTCCGAGTACTCTGTACTCAGATATGAAGGTTGCATAAATATATGGGGAATCCGAATCCGGATCCGGTTGAAACAGTCGGGTCGGACTGGGAAAGCCAGATAGGCGGCAGCGAAAATCTGAGAAGGGTTTTCGAGAAGGTATTTATAGACGCCAAATTATGTGTGAGCTTTGTCCTTTTGTAATGTCAATTATATGCAACGTCGGTTAAAAAGTAAAAAACGGAGGGTAATTACTTTTTTTCCCCGTAGTTCGAAATAATTTTATTTTTTTTACCAAATCATATTTTCGGTGTTTGTGACCAATTTTCAACATTTTGTTTCCATCATTTTCATTTTAACAATCTCGTTCACTTAAGAGCATCCACAATGGGCTCCCTAAACCACATTCTTAGACAAATTTTAGGGAGGAATGATAAAAATACAACTCCAACCACGCTCCCTATCCACCTCCTAAAATATGGAGTCCTCTAGGAGCTTCTAAATTTGAGGAGAGAGAAAGGACTCCTAGTGGATCTCTATAATTTAATGTTGCTTTATTTAATGAGTATTTCAAACTTTTATTTAATGCTAACTATTTTTTATTTTTTTTTAATAGAGATGGACCAATCAAAAAAGAGTTATAGCATTTATGACTCTCCAAATTAGGGAGTATGGTTAGAGTTGAAATTTTTTAGAGAGCTCTTAAAATAGTTTTCTTATATTCTTAGCCAAATTTTAGCTAAGAAATAGAGAGCATTATTGTGGATGCTCTAAGGACTTAAAATTAAGGTCACATGAGCACCTATTTAATAAAGACCCTTGCAGCACATATAATAAAGAGAGTTTAATTGCTAATTATATGTGTCATTAGATTAACCCAAGGATCTTTATTAAATATGTGCTCACATGACTTCATTTCTAGGTCCTTATGAGCTGATAGCTTTAGTTATATAGTTTTGTTTATTTAGCACTTAAGTCTTACAACTCTAACATTATTAAGAAGATAGACCTAATTCTTAGGTTTTTTTGTTGATTTCAAATAGTATTGCACCCCCACAAAGGATGGTTACGTATTGCCACATCGAAGTTCATCTATTAAATTCACAAAACAAAATTTATAATTCGAACTTGATTACAAATCAAACAAAACTATATGACTAATTATGCCAAAGTTCTCTATTAAAAAAAATGCCAAAGTTGAAATGACATGGAAAATAAATCAAACTACGAAAACCAAAAATATTCAAGTAAATATAGATTATATTAACTAAATCTTAATATAGTGGTATTTCTCTACTACATAATGTTAGAAAAAAAAACTTCCATATTCAATTCCCCTTTGTAAATATATAGTGGTAATTCTCTCGTTAATTTGTTTTAAAAGTAGCCATTCTAAATTGTTAATTTGTTTCAAGTATGACTCATAAATTGTTAATTATTAGCAGTTCCGCCTGTATACATGTCTCCAAGTTGGTTCAGGGGACAGATTCAAAGAAAGCAATGGGAAAAAAAAGAGCCTTTAAGAATAATACATTTGTGTGATCCTTTGTAAGGAGGTGCCCTAGCTACCCAAGGGAACCCGAGCCTCTCCAATTAATATTTGTGCATTTATACGTATTTAAAAGAATTCTAACTATTTGATTAATTTAATGAAGTTTAATCATTCCCCGTCAGTATAATCATATTACATTAAAAAATCACATTTTGTAGCATATAAATCTGTGATACAAATAAATTTATTGAATAAAATAATCAAACATTCATGGCAATTCATAACAATACAGATAAGCTATCTTCTTCTAAGTCCAAAGTATTTGTACGAATATAGTACAAATCCATATTTATCAAAGAAAACAAGTTAATCAAACTAATTAATCAAGATCTGGGTCATCTCAATTGGCACCCAAAATACAGAATTTCCCAAAGCACATGCCCCTCTCCCCCGCAAACGCCCTTCCAATGTCTCTCCAGACCTCCTCTCTCTCTCTCTCTCACACACCTTTCTTGGGTAAAAATCCCAAATCCCAAAATTCAATAGCAAATTAGAAACTGTAACCACATTTTCATCCATAAGCAGTATGATCAATTGTTTTTCTTTGTACTGTGTTGTTGTGAAATTATGTCCTCTCTTAGTTAAGCTCTTGTTGGACATTAATTGTTGTGGTGAGGGCTCAAACGAGTTGCTGCTTTGGGTTCTTGGGTGTGCCAGACATTTCTCTGGAGTCATTACTTGAAGTCCCAAACTCACTGCTCCCAAACTCCTGGCTTGACAAGGCCAACTTTCTGAACTTCTTCATGTCTGCATTGTATGCCTGCGTGTCGTAGTCTGAGCTTCCTCCGCCGGCAGCAGCGTTGAACATGGAGCTCTGCCCTGGTTTTGTCCCCTCATTCAAGTCATCTAGCGACACATCTCCTTCGAGTGCACGTACAATCTGTTTTTTCAGCATGGTGTGTTATCAGACTGTCAGACTAATTATAAATGATTATATATATACACGTTACCTGGCTCATCTTCGGGCGCTTTCTAGCAGAGTGACGGATACTTGCAGCAGCGCAGGCCACCATGCGTGCCATCTCCTGAGGGTTGAAGTTATTGTCCAAGCGGATGTCAACTAGCTCCAAATGATTGCCTTCCTCTAGTGAACGGTTGAGAAGTGGTCGAGCCTGTGCATATAACGTGTCACATTATTATTTACTCAAAAATTAAGAGAGGAAGTAAGTAAGATTTATTATAATTAGCACTCAAAAACTTGCAAAGATTAATAGATGAGGAAGTACGAACCCAGTCAACTAAGCTGTCGTCCATTGCATTTGAAGGATCCACTGGTCGCTTTCCAGTTATGAGTTCCAGGAGCATGACCCCAAATGAGAAAACATCTGATTTCTCTGACAATTTTCCACTTGATGCATATTCTGGAGCCAAATACCTGCATTGTTTACAAAACCAAATTTATATTAATCTGGTAATTAACTGGAACAACCACTAGTAATAAGATTGAGTTCAATTGCAGTATTCTTCAAAACTCAAGACAATGTTGAGAGTATTATTCCAGATTGATCACTCATAATCATTGCCAATTGATTTTGAATCGGATGAACTTACCCGAAAGTTCCCATAACTCGTGTAGACACGTGGGTGTAATTGTCAGAAGACAACTTGGCCAGCCCAAAATCAGCAACCTGAAAAAGCAAATTAAAAGAATGATCAAGGTGGCTGATTGATTGATTTTGGCGTATGCATACTATAAGCATCACAAAAATATGTATGTCAGCAACACATACCATGGCTTCAAAGTTGAAATCAAGGAGAATGTTAGCAGATTTAATATCACGATGGATGATTTTCGGGTGGCCTGCATTGATTCATTTAATTTCCGATTAAGTAAATATAGAGAGAGAAAGAGAGAGAGAGAGAGAGAGAGAGAGAGAGAGAGAGAAACAATTAGAATAAGTAGCTAGGTGCTTTGACTTTCTTACAATCTTCATGAAGGTATGCAAGCCCTTTGGCAGATCCAACCGCAATCCGAAGCCTAGTTGGCCAGTCCATAGGTGGAAGACCCTTTCCTGCAACCCATAATTTTATCAACATCTCATAAAATCTCGAGAAATACAACTATTTAGATGGAATTTATAGATTTAGATAGATGATCAACCAAAATCGTTTAAATATTAGCACTCAAAATTGAGTTTAAGTAACCGAAAAAATTGTGCTGTGTTGATATTTGATCGTAACATCGACAATGTAGAGTATAAGTGTATTCAAACTCACCATGCAAGTGATATTCCATGGTTTTGTTTTCAACAAATTCATAGACCAGCATTCTCTGCCCACCAGCAATACAATATCCAACCAGCGACACAAGATGCCGATGATGAACTCGGCTAATGATCTCCACCTCCGCCGCAAATTCTCGTTCTCCTTGACCACTGCCCGACTTGAGACTTTTCACTGCAACCTCTTTCCCATTGGGCAAGACACCTTTGTGCACATACCCGAACCCGCCCTGACCCAACAAATTCGCCTCTGAAAACCCATTGGTGGCAGCTGCAAGCTCATCATAAGTGAATGTGCTCTTGTTGAACCCAAGTGACATTGTTGGCGACGGAGGTGGCAAAGGCGGTCCTGAGAAATTGGTGCTCGCTTCGCCACTCGTTGGAGGTGGCCCCGAAGGCCAGGCACCACCACCAGGTGCTTGGTTGTTTAGCCTCACCACATGGTCTCCTTGTGGATTATTCATGTCATGCCAATTTTGTTGCTGTGTATTGTTGTAATAGCCACCACCACCTGTGCAAATATAAAGTTAATGAGGCTAATCTCAAGATTGTGTATATATGGGGTGATGAACACCAACTGAATCTTTTCTTCTATATGAGATTTTATTTTTTTTGTCAATTGAAATAAAGTGACAAGAGATATTATAATTTCATAACACCACGACTAGATGATTTCACAGTTGATGCATACTTATTAAATTAATAAGTAATTAAAAATTATGTCACATCATGTGGTGAACAAAATTATGGGTTAGGGTTTGGCACCTTTGTGATGATCAGCAGGATCTCCATAGTACTGCATTTCACGACGCTTTCTCCTCTTCCTTCTGATGCAAACCACGCACACCACGAGCAAGACAATTATAACCAATGACGCCCCAATAGCCACTCCGGCTATCTTACCTTTATTATCCGTTGATGATGAGCTGTCTTCATCAGAGCTCTCTGTTGATGGGGTGCTGCTTCCATGTGACGGCGGCGATAGTGCACCAGTGGGAGAAGTCTTAGGACGCGCGTGTGGAGGTGTTGTAGCGGCAGCCGTATCATTTGCTTCAGTAACAG